TCGCCCATATCTGCCCCCCTCTGCCCCGTCCCAGGCCCCTGGCGGCGGGGAGGTGTCCGGGAAGGCGCGGGGAGCAGCAGCTGTTTGCCATTAGCCGGGGACCCCGCAGGCCCCGCCTCCTCCCTGCACGGGGCGGTGTCCTGGGGGGGGCAAGAGAGGGGCCAGAAAACCCGCAGAAAGGCCCGGCTGGGGGCACGGCGCCGTGGGAGACCCTGCACCCCTCCTCTGAGCTCCGCTTCCTGTCCCCTGTCTAAATGACCCGTCCTCTCTGCCCCCGAGGAGTCCTCACCCCCCACGCTCTCCCTTCCTCTGACACCGGACTGCGTGGAGAGAGCTCGGTGACCTCAGTCTCCGTGCCTGAGAAATGGGTAGGAGCTGCCTGTGGCAGTGGGGGCCGAGCTTGAGCTCACATCCAAGCACGGCCACTTCTTGCCTGCCGGGGTGACCCTGGGCGAGGCGCTGAGCTGCCTGTGCCCTTCAGGTTCCCTTATGTAGACTGAGCTGGGGACTGCCCACCTCCCAGGTGTCGTGACGATTAAGACATCTGGTGGTGTGGGGCCGCAGGCCTGTAATCCCTGTACTCGGGGAGGCTGAGGCGGGAGGATGCTAAGTATGAGTTCAGCACGAGCAACGAGGAAGGACCCTGATTCAGAAAACGAAAAGGGGCCTGGGCATGTAGCTCGGTGGTAGGGTCCTCCTGGGTTCACCCCCAGTACCACCAAAAAAAGTCAAAACCGGTGTTACTATTGCTACGGTTGTTAACGTGATTTGTTCCCCTTCCGCAAGCCCCACCACCACCCCGGTTTCCTGGCCTGCCACCTCTAGACCAATCTGAGGTCCCCGGAAAACATTGTGGATCCATTTCCTGTTGCTCAGGGGGATGCAAAGGCACATTTCCTACAGTCGGTGACCCGGTGACTGTGCTTCAGGTGTTGACAGCCAGTGGGAGGAGGACGGAGACGTGGAGAGACGGAGCCGGAGGCGCGGAGCGACAGAGGACAGAGACACAGAGAGACGAGCGAGAAGGGACGCTCCGCCGCCGCTGCCCCAGCCCCAGCCCCAGCCC